CGGGGTGGGGCGGGGCGTGGTGGGGTCGGTCAGGGCGCCCCACACGAGGAGCATCCTATATACCGCTACCCGCAGAGCGAGCGAGCGTGGTTATGTCACTCTCGCTATCGGTTCTGCTGCCCTCTGCGGCGGCCGACCCGGACCCGCGCGCACCTGTTCTACGGCCCCGTACTATAAATCGTACACCAATTTCTGTTTTCATTTGCTCTTCCTTTACATTTTTGCAGTTTCTGTTTTTTCCTGGCTTGTTTATTTTTTTTCCTTTTTTCCCTGATTATTTTTTGTTGAATCGGATAGCATCAACTGATTTTTGTGAGTGAAGTACTCCTCGCTCCTTGCACTAGGGGAACCCGCAGTGGTGTATGGCGAATTTCGCACACCTGTGAGGTGTAAGTGAAATCCCATGTTAACCCGCCCCGAAGACGTCCGGGTCCGGACGGACCAATCCGTTCTTAACGCAAGTTTTTAGTCGCTTTGGCCCGTGCTCCTGCCGTTTGTTTGCACACCCCCGTGCCGGGCGCCGAGCCCGCGAGCTTGCGCTATGACGCCTAATGGACGCCGCACAGTAATAGAATTGCAACTCAAACAGAGAGACGGATGGCCTGGACGCCCGTCGCTTTCTCACGTTCGGAGGGAGACAAATTAAAGCCCGCGCTGCCGCCGTCATACCTTCGCCTCGACCGCTTTCGGTACGACTTGAAGCTGACGGTTCGAATAATGCAGTAAGGCTTGTGCCGCACGCCGCACTCTCACTTTTCTTTAACTGCAGTCCGTTTTTTTTTCTTGTTTAATATGATTAGTCTGGTGTCTCAACGTGAGGGCCTCAATCAACTACTACTACTAGGACAACAGAGATTTATTGATTATTGTTTCGACTGCTGAACACCACAAGAGAACGTCTAATAAAGAAAGGTGTTCAAAAGATGCTCGCAGCGACAAGTGCACAATTACTAGTGTTTGAAACACTTGGTTTGTCGGTGTAAGTTTCTAAACTGAAAAATTTTGCACGGCCAAATATTTTCCTTTACAAAAATGTGTCGCTCTTCTTTGACACACTTGCAAACTTAAGCGCTTTCAAAGGCGCGCGTTGCATTCCGGAAACGAAGGGAAGCAGAGGGGACGAGAGGCGGCTGCAGCTGCCACATGCCCGAAAACACAACGAGGCCGGCTCCGGGGCGCGCCGTGAGACAAACACTCGAGGCGTGGCGGGGCGGGGCGTGGCG